GCTAGCCTCTTGATGTTATTCCATGTCTTCCCACTGTTCTCTATCCTGGGGTAGCCTCTTGATGTTATTCCATGTCTTCCCACTTTTCTTTTGTTCATGACGTACATATTTCTTTCAGCCCTGAAACAAAGAGGCGTCGTTTGATGGAGAGAGATGATGACGATGATGATGATGATGGCGAGGAAGACGATGAAGAGGAATCTCCGTTTGATCTCAACACCAGAAGTGCTGACAAAAAGACGAGGGAGAAATTGACCAAGTTATCTAAAGCTACAGAAGAGACGGCGTTGGCGCTGTTGAGCTGATGTTGATTTCTGTCTCTGATTATATGATGATATGTACAGAGATTTCATACATAATTACTGTCACAGATTATGTGGTGTTATGTACAGAGATTATATACATAATTTCTGTCACAGATTATGTGGTATTATGTACAGAGATTACGTACATAATTACTGTCACAGATTCTGTGTTATTATGTACAGAAATTACGTACATAATTACTGTCACAGATTATGTGGTGTTATGTAGAGACTATGTACATCATAATTACTGCCAAAGATTATGTGGTATTATCTACAGAGATTACGTACATCATAATTACTGCCACAGATTATGTGGTATTATTTACAGAGATTACGTACATAATTACTGTCACAGATTATGTCCGCACGCTCATATGACCTTATGCAGTTGCGAGCGCCGTAAAACCCTATACTAAACAAACAACAAACAAACAGATTATGTGGTGATATGTACAGAGATTACGTACATAATTACTGTCACAGATTATGTGGTGTTATGTACAGAAATTACGTACATAATTACTGTGACAACTTATGTGATGTTATGTACATAATTCTTGTCACATAGTAGGTGTTGACTTAATTATGGGTATCAGGTAAAAATTATATCTGTGAAACGAATTCTTGTTCAGGAATATCCGTGCAATCAATGTTGGCTGAAAAGTTTTGAACAACTTGCTAGTGACATGATTTGAGGCTTGGACACAGCGTGCTGTTGTGACTTTTTTGGGGGGTCACTCCGTGCAGCTGTTGTTGACCTTGGGCTCTGTGTGTCTGTGTGTGTGTGTGTGTGTGTGTGTGTGTGTGTGTGTGTGTGTGTGTGCGTGCGCGTGCGTGCGCGTGCGTGAGGAGGTTATAAATAACATTTGTTCTAATAGGGTTTCCCTAACCTCTTTAAAAATATATAAAGAAAGAACAGTAGGCCTAATAATGATTAAAATAGGCTGTTAGCCTGCGATCACTGCTTGGAATTTTCTTTTTCCCCTGCAGATCTTCATCTCGGCTATAAGCTACATTGATAATATGTACATCCTCTTGTTCCGTTTAAATTCTATTGCAACCGGGGGTTGACACAGAGCTAGACATTTCAGTGCTGACGTGTTGTACTGCCGGGGTCTGAGAACTGTCTACTCTGAAACGCAAACAGACTTTAATCAATACTAGCCCCAAAATCACGTTTGATTCGGTTAAAATTAAGTTGTGGACGTTTGTTAATAAATTAATAGGCTTCCATAACATTATCACCTCCCCCCAGAAGCCAGCCTCGTCAATTCCACAATTTTACTTTATATTCTGTTTATTTTGCCAATCCACACGCGAGCGGTACGAATTGTGTAAGACGAGGATTACCATGAGGCTCATGAGCAGGGATCATCAATAATAGGCTTATATTATTTCTAAACCTATCCAACATTTATTTCCCAAACAGGAAGTTGTCGTTGTGGGGTCCTCTGCAAACAAGCCCTTGGCGATGGGAAAGAGAACTGCAGTCGGAAGGGGAGGATACTAGAAGTCGAGGAGTCGAGAGTCGAGACTTGGAGATTTAAACCTGCTTATTCATAGTTCGGCAAGCAGCCAGAATGAACCATGTAGATCTAGTTTTGGTGGGTCTGAATATCTTGCAAATCAATGTTCCCATATTGTTTGTCTTTTCAATATATGCAGTGTAAACGTGTGTCCTTTCCTTTGTTAGTTGTACTTTGACACTTTGTAGTTTGTAGCCTTTCTTTCTTTACTTTTTAAAACTTTTACTTTTATTTCCATGTATTGTCCAATGCCGCATTCCTCCCCTCATCTTGGTCAGGCTAATCTGTTGTCGTTGTTCGTCGTCGTAAATCTAGAATCTAACCCTGTTACTACAACTAGATCTAATATCTACATCTACATCTACACCAATTGCTGTTTATTTTATGTGTAGGTCTTGCTTTCAACTTTTAAATTAAATGTCTTGTACAGTCAAACCTGTTAAGACAGAATCGCAAGGGAGCCGTCTTGGGCATTTTCCGTCTTAGACAGGGGAATTTAGGGGGGGTTTCAAAGGCCCAGCCGATGGGATCAAGGATCGCTTTGAGGTCAGCAAGCAGTGGTCAAAACTTCACACCTCAACTCAGCCTCAACTACTATCCTCTCTGATAATGACTTGCGTCAGTCTTACCCTATTACTGCCAGTGCTTGCATTCCTCAGGAACACTGTTTGACCTATTAATAACAGAAACGTTTGAACATCTCCTTTGCTTTCACCCTTAGTCCCACCCATCGGTGTAACAAGCACAGTCCCACCCCTTACTGCCATGTAACATTGATTCGAGGAACTCCTTTCCTCGGCTGGCCGTACGATCAGGGCGGCAGGCATTGGTCAAACTAATTTCACACCTCTGGCTTCTGGCTACTCAGTAGAGATGGGGCGAGCGGACGGATGGGTTCATTACTCGCGGACTCGGTCAGAGCGAGTGGGTAACGGACGGCCATGAGAGCGAAGTGCGAACCTCAAGACAGTTCGTTTTTTTGGGTCCGCTACACAATTTGACTCAGCGAGCGGACTGCGGACCTCAAGCCTCAAGTCAGTTCATTTTTTGGGTCCGCTCCACAATTTTATTCACTGGGCGAGCGGGTAAATGGACGAACTCTAGCAGACGAGATACTCAACGCAAGGTTAGGCCCACGGTCTATTGTTTGTTAATTAGGCCTAATGTTTCAAGCCACTAGCCTAGCGGTGCCACAGGGAGTGAGAGAGGCTGGTGACGTAGTACTATGTGTGTAACCTTTCACCTCATGTGTGGGGCACACTGTGTACGTTTCAATTATCGCAAAGGCCCGGGGGGGGGGGGGGGGAATTTACGCCATGAACGCCTAGCTACAGTGTGAAGCAAGAGGGTGATTTTTTAATTAATTTTTTTTTGGGGGGGGGGGGTAGGGGGTTGTAAGTTGTATGCAATGGAAGGAGTCGCTCCCGTCCGTCCGCCCGCTCGAATGCATGGAGTCTCTCGGTCCGCCCGTCCGCTCGCTCGCTAAACGAACTGTTGTCTCTGTCCGATGTGTAGCGAGTAGCGATCACTACTCTTCACAAGCGGACGGTTTGTTACTCGTCCGCTCGTTTGCGGGTAGTGCCAGCGAGTAGTTCGTTACTCGCGGATGCTAATTTTGCGAGCCCGACCCAACCCTACTACTCAGGATAAAGTTTCAGTGGTAGTTAACTGCTCAAGTACTTTCACTGGCACTCATGAGATTTCACACCCACGCTACCATGACCATCTGCATCACTCAGGGCTCACAGGGATGAGGTAACATCCACCCCGAAACTGCACCCCTCTCTCCTTCCTCGCCTAGCAGTATGGCGTTAAGTTTAGAGCCGGCGGAATCTAATTTGATTTGCGAGTTTAGTTTCAAATCAGGGCTGAGCGGGGAAAACATTTTCCGTCTTAGACAGGTAAAACCATTGGAAGGAAGGGGATTTTTCTTTCCGTTTCCGCTTTTGACAGGTTTCCGTTTTACACAGATAATTAACACATTACACCCTATCTCGCCAGGGATCGCCCGGGAATTCTCTTACGCGCTCCACCCTAACTCGCCCGGACCTAGCGTCTTTAGAAACGAAGTCTCGCCTTGACGAGCCTCTGGGGCCGAGATTTTGTTTTGCATAGTTAATGCAAAAAGTTTCTTATTTCGTTTGATACCGAAACGAAATTTTTTGGGCCAGTAGTTTTAGTGTTAGAGCTGATCGAAGTGCGATCGCGTTACCGACACTATGAAAGTGTCTCGACTTGTTGAAAAGTGACACAATTGAGTTCCAAAACGGAAATAACAATGGATTTGAGCAAAAACATGCATATATGACATATATGACAAATCAGATGTCTCAGATTTTGATGAAAACGTTGTAGCAAGAGTTTGGGGCGATTAGGATTGATCAGACGTAGAAAATCTAGAACTTAGATCTAGGGCCCGACCGTGAGGCTGAGAGTGAGAGTGACGGGTCGGACACCCCGATTGAACTAAAGTTAGAACATTTCCAACAGTTTGCGCATACACATAAAGTTATATTTTTCTGAAACTACTTTCAGTATTGTTTTTAACTTTTATTTTTTCATGATTTTTAGAATTTGTTTAGTATTTTTTAAATTATTTTTTTAAACGCTTGTATTCAGGGGAGGTGGGTTACTTCCCCTTGCTTAGGATCTAACATTGGACTTCCCGTCCAGGCCCTTTGGGTGTAATGTGTTAAAAGGAATATATCAAGGGGGGAGCGGGGAGATTCCGTTAAGGCAGGTTCGACTGTATTGTCAATTAAGGAGAAATGGTCAAATTTCTCACATTCCAGATTCTCATCTCTGCATTTCTTTTATCAAACAAGTTGACTCAAACTCAAGACTCGACAAGATAGATCTAGATCTAAATTTTCTCTTCTTGCCAATTTAAGTTGGCTTTTGTTAGGGCGGGTGCGTACCATTCCCGAACACTGCACTGTTAGGGATGCATACGCATACGCTTCCCTTCCACTGCACAGTTAGGGACGCGTATGCTTCCCCAGCATTTGACTGCGGGACACATACGGTGCGCTTGAACAAATATGTACTGTTGTTTTAGGGACGCATGCATACGCTTCCACAGCTCTACGGAATTATTGACCCGTATTTGCGACATTGACTTCACAGAAGTACCAAAGATTCTCTACTACCAAGATGTTTCAATTGCCCTAGATCTATCTCTCGTTCCGGCATGACCTTGTCTTAGCACAAGTCGGCCCGTGATACAAGTGTAAACAAACGTTGCAGCGCTGTTGAGTTGAAGTTGAAAGCGTACAATTTTGTCTGCAGGCAGAGAGAGAGAGAGAGAGAGAGAGAGAGAGAGAGAGAGAGAGAGAGAGAGAGAGAGAGAGAGAGAGAGAGAGAGAGAGAGAGAGAGAGAGAGAGAGAGAGAGAGAGAGAGAGAGAGAGAGAGACGGGGGGGGGGGAGAAGGAGAGAGAGAAGGGGAGTAGAAAGAAGGAGAGAAAGATAGAGTGAAGGGGGGAGGAGAAAGAGAGAGAGAGAGAGAGAAGGAGGTGAGAGAGAGAGAGAGAAGGGGGTGAGAAATTGGGAGAGAGAGAGAGAGGGGGGGGAGGAGAGAGACAGAGAAAGAGAGCGAAAAGGGAGGTAGAAGGAGAGAGAGAGAAAAGGGGGGGGGGAGGGGGGGAGAGAGAGAGAAAAAGAAAGAAGAAGAGAGAGAGGGGGGGGGAGAGAAAAAGACAGAGGGAGAGAGAGAGAAGGGGGTTAGAAAGAGGCGAGAGAAAGAGAGAAGGGGGTAGAAAGAGAGAGATTGAGGGGTGGGGTTTTATGATATAACACATCACAGATTGGAGGGTGGGGTTTTATGATATGAAACATCACTGTCGCCAATGTCCAAATCAGATGTGCTGTTTTCTACGGTCTGGGTCTCAAAGTATCATCCATATTTTCACGAGTCTCAATCTCTTTGTACCTTTCCAAACACGCTGGTGAAATGAATTGGGGGTAGAGGAACACCGAACGACCTTGACTTTGAAAATACGTGCCCCTAACAATTCAGTGTTATGTGGACGTACGTGTGCCTAACAACTTCCATTTAAGTTTGAAAATGATAAACAGACTGCAGCAGTTCTAAAATCATCATCGTCATCAATGCCTTTCACCCCTGGCAGGGTACTTCCAAGCTCGTTCCAAGTGAGCTTCATCTCTCTCATGTCCCTTTCCACGCATCTCCTCCATGTTTCCGGTGACCTACCCCTGCCTCGTGCTCCTTGTGGGTTCCACTGCAGTGACTGTCTTGTGATGTTTTTGCTGGGCTTTCTTGTGTCCCATCCATCGCCACTTTCTTAGTTTTATTCGTTTCTGTCCAGACTGGTTCAAGTGGGTCTTGCTGATTCCCAGTATGTGTAGTTGGTATCGGTGCATCTCTTGGAGGATTTGTGCAGTTTTTTCAGCCTCATAAAGGGTCCTAACGTTCCTCGAGCCAATCCGAAGAGACTTGGTGGACTTGGATGATGGTGTAGGCTTCTGCCCAGCAGCTTCCTTTCGGCTTTCACTGCCTTGTGTCATAAACTCTCCATTTGGAGAAGATCCACGATCAGCCAAACGGAGATAATGGTTTTTGCTTGTATGTGTTTCTGTAACAGGTTCATTTTACGAGGGAGGTTATTAGCCTCGTGACTCAACCCCTGACCTGGAGGCAGGATGACTCTGTTTCAGGAGTCACTACCTGGTTCGCCATTTAGTCGCCTCGTACGACACGCTAGCACCACGTCAGTCCTATTTTTCTCAATGCCGGGACTGCACGGGAGAGTTCTAAAATAGAGTTGCACAATTGACCTTGTGAAAATCACCAAAAGATCAGATCACATAGATAGGCATAGGTTTATTTATTGATAATGTTACATTTCCAACCAGTTAAAACTAGGAATGGATTACAAAATTGCTATTTGATGTCAAGCGCTTAAACAATATAAAGCACCACAATAACTGAAAGACCTTATTGAGTCATCATAAACCATCGAGACATTTTTGAGATATGCAGATGAGGATCTCATAATGAGAGTGCCCATTGTAAAGTGTAACAAACAGGTCATCAGGTGGAAGAGCATTTGTGAGCGTCCCTGGTGAAAGGTACTAAAAAAGACGCATTTGCTCGAACTAAGATATCAGGCTTCAAAGATCAAAAGTATAATTTTTGACAAAAACTAAGTTCCACTAAAAATGGATTCTTTAGCTGTTCATATTTCGATATTTACAATGACTGTTATGACTTGAGTCTCTTTTACTTTAAAATACATTTTTAAAGATATTTTTTAATACGAGGTATATTGCGTAATCCCCAAAAATGCGTAAGAAAGTTGGTTTTCTTAGTAAACATTGCGGATGGTTTCTCTTATCCATTCATAAAGTCGACCCAATCCCATTGCATACCAAAATTTAGGTCATTGTCTCCCCTCTCTAGTGGCAGGTAGTGCACATGAATATCTAGAATATGTAAACAAAGCGAAGCTCTGCGCATCCACATTTTGGAGAGCAAACTTGTATCGCTTTTTTCTGCCCTGCGCAAACCTAGATCTATTTCTTGAAAATTCTTCTTCAAGGTGGTGGTGAATTTGTTTGAAGACGTAATATAAACACTTTGAAGCTGTTCTTTTGTCTTAGCTGCTTTTTAAAGTTGGTTTTGTGAGTAGGGAATGTGTTGTCTGGTCGTCTCGAAGCGTAGATCTATGTATTTGAAGCAGAAACAAAGGGAAACTTTAAAGCCGTTTTTCTCAAAACTTTGTTTCCATACCACGCCTTACAAAATCACCCATATCTAATCTAAAAAAACTACAGAAGATATCTTAAAAATTCTAAAAGCACTTTGTTCAGAAATGATCTCTGTAAATGCAAAAGAACGTGATTCTTCAAAATGCGGCATTTGGTACCTTTCACCAGGCACACACACATTTCCTTTCTATGCCCCCAAAATTTGGAATCCCCTCTCGCCCCCCCACGAAAGAAATGCATATGTTACATAACATCAGAGAGAGGAAAAGTCTAAAGAGACTTGAGAATGTGTGTGGGTCTGGGAGTTGTGTGTATGTGTGTTTGTTCCCCCCCCCCCCCCCCCCCCTTTGATATATTAAATAGTTGGGTTTTTTTAGAAAAAAGAAGGAAAAAAGAGATTCTTTTTGTCTTCAGTTGATCCTGATGTTTTATTGAGTTCAATGTACTTTGATGCAATGTTTACTATATTATAACCAATAAATTTGATTGTTCTATGTTGAGATTTTTCTTTGAAATCACGTGCTCCCAGGTAAAAGATGGATCACGATGTACTCGCTTTTCTGTTTGGCACGGGCAGATGGTAGCAAATGGTGTGTGTATGGTTCAAGACAATATATGATGGATTAAAACAGTTTTTAAGGTAAGTAAAAGGAGCTTCATCATGAAAGAAAATAAGATTACAGTCTATCGATTACACGTTAATAAAATATCTTTGCAGTATCAAATATGTGCTGGATTTGAAGAGAACTTTAAGTGTTGAATTATTGACAGTTGTTGATACAATTTGAACCCCCCCACTCCCCTCTTTTCAAGACACCTAAATTCCAAAATTTTAGTTTTGTTAGTCTGTTACTGTACATACAGCTCATAACGATGATTTCCTTTTGTTAAAAGCATGGTGTGCAGAGTGGTTTAACATGTTAAAGGAATACATATATATGTTAAGAAAATGATTTGTTTTACATAAAATGTAATCGAAGTGTTTGCTGGTAGACATTCTTGTTATTATCATTCAGTACTGCTGTGTTTTTCCCCACAGGTTTCTGCTGCACTATCTCTCTCTCTCTCTTTCTCTCTCTCTCTTTCTCTCTGGCTGTAGTGTGTTTGAGTGTGGTGAGTGAACCAAAGAGGACAAGATGAGTAGCTCAGCAGAGGACGGCCTCATGAACCTCCTGGAGGCCATGTTGGCCCTGGCAGCCCGTGAGGCCAGGCGGCCAAAGCCCCCTCCGGTCAAGCCCGGTGGATACCCTGAGGACCAGTTTGTGGACCTCTCAGAGGAGGAGAAGGAGGAGTTCTCCTGTAGTATCTGGTGAGCAAGAGAGGACTGGCTTTTCTACTTAAGGTCTTGATTTAGTCATCTTTCCATTTCTCACTGTTAACTAACTAGAGAAATATATTGCACCTCTTTTTTCTGGTTTGTTGATATGGGGAAGTTGAGGGGAGTGAATCCTTGCAGATCTAATTAATTATTGTACATCTCTATGGATCAGATGCAGAAATTATGCAGTAACATCTGAAATGTGAGAGAAGATAAAGAGTAAATCAAAGGCTGCATTGTCTTAGTCTTGTTTGCTTGACAATTGTGTCTTTGAACTGGGATTTGTTCGGAACGTGGGAAAATCTTTTGGCTCTCAGAGGCTGATATTGTTTTGTCAAGTGCAGGTCTTTTTAATAAGTGATTTTCTTTCGAAGGAAATCTCAAAATTCAGTACAAATAGGTATTTTTTATTAATTGGTTGTGTTGTTTTTGTCTTCTTCAGTTACCAGATCTTGAAGGAAACAATGCAGTGTGTGAATCACCATAAGTTCTGCCACTCGTGCCTCCTGGTGTGGTCAACCACTGGACAGTATGCAAACCGTATCAGGTGTCCAGTCTGCCGCACTCACGGCTACTACTTTCGCAACAACGAAGTAGATGATCGTATTGGTGTGAAGAAAGTAAAGTGCCACATGGACTCGTGTAAGTGGTCGGGACAATGTAAATACCTTCTGTCTCATCGCCACACCACGTACGGGGACGCTGGCACCAACCGCCCCGGTAGCAGTGCCAGCAGCGTTGCTTCGATTCCTCGCTTATCTCAGGTCCCTCCTCACGTCCCCCCAGCGGTAGGCGCCCGATTTGTCGGCACTGGGCTCACTACTCGGGATTCTGCCGATTCACTGCGAGGTGGCGACAGTGCCACTCCACGGGGAACTCTGGCGAATCGCGGGAGGTTGTTGGCCAGCTCGAGCCCACAGAGCAGCACAAGTCAGGAGACGGTGATAGAACTTCCACCGCCATCAGGAAGTGGGGCCCCTAGGGGGAATAACCCAGCTCCCCGGAGGGTCCCACCCGTTCGCGCTTCCAGCAACAACAGGATTGTTTTCAACCACTCTGGGTCACACCGGGATGGAAACAACAATGTGGGCGGGGCGGGTTCTGTGGCGGTGCGGCCGTCCGGTCCCCCCAACGTCAGCGAGTCGTCAGAGTCTGTATCCAGCTCCATCACGGGCGGCTTCACTCCCAGACCCCCCTCGGCTCCGCGTACATCTTCCAATGTCGTGAACACCCGCAGGCTGCCTCGGATCACCAATCCCCCGCCCCCTCGGGGCCTCCCGCTGAGGAGGCACCAGCCACCAGAGGCTGTTTCTTTAGGGGCATCAGCGTCTTCCTCTTCACCACAACGGCCCTCCGCCCCTGCAGAAAATCTCGGGGAAATCCGCGACAGGCTGCAGGAGAGTCGGAACCGTTTGGATAACCTGATGTCCTCTTTCTCCGGGGAGCTGGACCGAAGCCGACAGGAAATGGCAGACTTTCAGCAGGAGAGGGAGCGGCAACGGAGGGAACAGCTGGAGGAAGTACGGGAGCTGGGGCAGCGTCTGGGTCAGGTCGCGTCGGAGCTGAGACGTCTGCTAGAGCACAGGAGGCATCTTCCAGTCTTCAGCGACGACGACGACGATGATGATGATGATGAGGAGGAGGAGGAGGAGGAATAGAAATGTTATTGGCCTTGGAGGAATGAGGGAGGAAGGAGATGGTAGTTGTAAGGGATTTTGAGGATTACTTTGATCAAAAAAAGGAGGAACTATGCATGTGTTTGTGTGACTGCTGAAGCAGTAGAGACATCTGCGGTATTCAGAGATTAGGAAGAAAAAGGGGTCAAGAGAATGGAGGACATTGTTCATCCTCAGTCGTGTTAATGTCAATTGTGATGAGGAAAAGATTGTTGGTATTCGACAACGATGATGAGGGTGATAATGTGGAGGATGTTATTTATGTTAAGGGATGTAATGACAACAGTGATGAGGTGGTTAATATATCTAGCCTGTTATTTTTATATTTAGCAAAGATGATGACACAAGTGATGATGAAGCAGATAGTGATGGGGATATTATTTATCTTTAACGATGATGATGATAACTGCAGTAATGAAGAGGAAGTGATTGATCTCCAGCATGAATGATGAGCGTGAGGATAAGAAGGAGCTGAAACAGTTGTGGGAGGAGTCATCATAGCGAAGAAGTACTCTAAGAGTATTTGAATATCGAAGAAAATATTTTGTGTGTGTTAATGTACGGCTAGTAAGCTGTGTCTAATCATTCTTTATGATGGTAGGAGTGAACGCTGTGAATGGAATGCAAGGGTGACTGGAAAAAGAGGACTAAGGAGTATGATGATTTAAGAAAGAAATTAACATGTGCTTGTTTTTCGGTGTTTGTGCAGGCTTGGATGTGTTTCGGTGTGTATTATTGCATATGTGTGCCTGTGTGCTCCTGCTTCCTTGTTAACTAGGTGAGAAATTTTTAGTCAGTTGAAAGAGAAGATTTTGTTTACTTGGAGGAAAAAGCAATGGTGTTGTGTGAGGGGACAAGTGACAATTTGAAGTGGCTTCGTATAAACTCAGATCGGATCTCAACTGTAGTATAGTATCGTGTCCAGGGTGGACGCATCTCAGGCTTTGCACTGTTGGTCACCGCCGTCTAATGGGAAGGATTCACCTAGCTTTGCCGTGTCCTATCACCAAGTCGCCAGTCCTGACAATGATGATTCACTAAGTATCTTTTACTTGAGTCTACTTGACACAGCCAGCTCACTGTCAGCCCCACAGGCTCATTGCAACTGTTGGCTCATCTGTCATCTGTTGCCAAGTACAAACAACAACTTAATGATGGTTAGGAGCGTATATTATTATTTCGCTTGTCTCGCAAGTCGTGATGAATTCCAGAACTACAGTCCGGACAACACCAAATGGACAACTTGTCGACCTCTTTACACAGAAACTAAGTGGCGAATTAGATCTACCCCGATTTTTTGCATGTGCCTCTGAATTTTAAAAAAACTAAAAAATCTTGATTTTCATGCATATGCGACAAATATAAAGAGATGTTTTCTATATAATCATTAGTATTTTAGTACAGTCTGCTCTGGGATTTTTTTATTAGAACAAGAACGGTACTTGAGTGTTAGTTATTTTTTTTATGTTTGTTCAAATCTGTTTTCTTTTTTTCAACTGACTGCATGTGCCACAAGACCGAGTTGTTTTCAGTCCAACGGTTAGTGAGTGACAGTGGGTTTATTTAGATTAACTAATTGTGATATACAATGAGTAAAATTTCTTTCATATCTTCACAGTCTTTGAGATCGCATGCATTTCAATTTACTGTCACTTTTTCATCTATCACCGTGGTTTGATTACTTTAAATTTACAACCCAAAAAACTTGTTGCCTTGAAACTACTGAACTATTAATTCCTGGGAGAGTGTTGACATATCAGAAATAATAATAATAATAATAATAATAATAATAGAAAGACGCATAATACTTTCAATAAGTAGTAGGGGGGATCTGTCAATGGACCTGCACGGGGGGGGGGGGGGGGAGAGGGGTTGCCCAGTGACATGCCTATGCTTCAAATTTAGCACTCTGATGATCCCCAGTTTTGAGTTTGACCCAAGGAGTTTATACAGTAACCTGTTGTAAGGTCCTTGGTTTGACCAAACTGTACACCCCCCCCCCCCCCCGCCTCCCCCGAAACTTCTGGCTAAGCCCCTGCAACGACACCGTGTATTCTGTATTGTTATGGTTTTAACATGGTACCGTGCTTGCTATAAAAAGTGTGTGGTGTTGACTTTAATGAGCAATTAATTACTAATGATTAAATAGACAGCACCTTTTTATATTTGTCGCATATGCACGACAATCAAGATTTTTTAGGTCTTTTAGAATTCAGAGGCACACGCAAAAAATCAGAGATTCGCCACTTAGATTCGGTGTAATGAGGTCGACAAGTTGTCCATTTGGTGTTGTCCGGACTATAACTGTAACACTTATCTCCATTTTATTCTTTTGTGTGGAATGCTTCTCCTTCCTCATGTGTGATAGGCCCTTGGCGCCAATGAGCCTTTCTCCAACTCCCGCGTTACACCTGTATCACATTCACACTGCTTTCCAATCCAATTTAATTCGTTTAAATGCCTATGCTAAATTAATAATTTTGTATATCTATATTATATGTGCGCGCACACAAATACACACATGGTTTATGCAGTCATACTCACATACACTGGATGCATATACTGACAAATAAACTCACTCACAAATATCGTTAAGTATTTTGAGTCTCCTTTAAAGGAGCGTTGAACCTGTTTGTAAAGTAACAATTTGCGTTGGTTAGCTCAATTGTAAATACATGTATGTATGTAGATATCGGAACAAGAAGATTGTGATTTTTCTTTTTTTCTTCCTCAAGGCTGACTTTTTATTCCTTCCAACAGATTGTCAAGATTAATTATCTCAGCATAAAAATTCCATCTATTTCATTTGTTTAAAATACGAGAATTCATTTTTTCCAATATTCTACACTTTATTTAATTTACATTTTTAAAAGTGTTAAGTATTATTTTTTTCCAATATTCTACTCTCCATTTACATATTCCTTTTGTGAGAACTGTATTCTTTGCGACTCATTGATTACTGTTAAGACATCGTCATTGAGAGGCTGGTGTCTGAGAAGGGTCGTATTTGCATACACATTTTGTGCTTTTTTGCTCAGTTCCAATTCATTCATTTAATTCTGAGAGTCTATTTATATCCATTACTGAAAGATGACACCCAGGTCCATACAAATCTTTATTGTGTTTGTTCTGATTGGCCTTTCAGCCAACAGGGGGGAGGAGGGAGGTGAAACTGCTTAGAATGAACCAAAAAATTGTTTTGAAAAGTGACACAATTGTGCAGATCTCAAAAAGTTATTTTTTCCTGTGCTGAAAAGCGTATTATATTTGTCCTTTTGGAAGCATTCCTCACCTGGCAGATGTGATTATAGTGTGCACTCTTAGGTGACTCTAACTCTGACGTCAGTGAGTTTAGTTGGGCCCTTGACATTCGTACATGTTTTTTCTTACTTCTTAGTGAGTTTTGAGTCGACCTTCCAACAATCACTGATTTTGAGCTTGTTATGAAACTTAATTGATCCTGTCATGAGCCAACTGCACAGCGTTTTGTCTATATATAGCTTATTGCTTCAAAAGATCGTTATGCTGTTGTCTCTCTGGTCTTTGTAATTTAACAGAATCAAACAAAAGTACCTTTTTGATACACATATAAAGTATGTCTGTGCTAATTTAACACACATCTAAACAAGAACTTGTGCTAAGCTCTGAACGATAACAATGAAAGTCCATTTTGCTTCTACTTTCAACACTTTCACTAAATAAAGTGAAAATTTTCAAAATTACTAAATGAATTAAACTGTGCTGCCGATTTTTGGGGGCAGTACAGCTTTGCTTAGTTAAAGTCTTTCTGCTTGTGCTTTATAGCTTGCCCTATTTTTACTTGTCTGTTGCATTGTGTGCATGCTTGTGGCTGCTGGAATGTCAGTCAGCCAAATGACTATAGCAGCTGACAGGCTGACCTAGTCCCACACGTATGTGCCAATACTTATAAAGTGGTCTCCAAGTTTCCATGCATTGGGAAATATATGACTTTCATCTTGTGTTCTTCTTCCTGAATTATGTTGATAAGTAGTGTCCAGTGAGTAGATCCCCATCGATATGAAGACTACAATTTTCCAATTGTCATGTATACTGTGGAACCAAAGTTTTCAAATGACTCTTTTCTTCATTTAACACTTTGGGGTCACTTGGCGCAATAATGCGGTGGTGAAAATTATCCGTTCCGGTCACCTGGCGCAGTTTTGTGCCAGGACCGAGAAGTCTGTTGATGTCGCTCTCTTGGCTGGGTGACCAGATGGGGTATTTCGTTCTGCTGGCTGTGTGACTGCAAAGTGTTCAATTGATGTGCTTTTCAGACTTTGAAAATATTATCCTCTGCATTATTTTGACAGTTTTTCACCTAGCGAAGAATGACACCAAACGAACTGAGCTATTCTATTTTCATTCTCAAAGCAGCAGTGCGATTATTTTGCTACTGACTCTCATATCTCAATACTTGGCAGCCATCTGTAACTTTCCACGGCCTTCTTGAGTTTGCGATAGTTGTGAGGACCGATGTGTGTGGCTGGTTTTTAATAATTTAATCATTAAGCTTATTGCCCAGGTCTATGCATCTGCTTCTATGTCTTTCTGGGGGGGTGTTTTACAAAGAGGTAAAAAGAGGTTACAAAATCCATGTGATAAGATTAGGCAGAACTACAGCTGTTCTAAGTATCCTTTGGCTGAACATGTTATTTGTCCCATATGTACCATTGTGCTGAGAATATTAAAAAATATAATCAGTAAATGCTATGGAATCTCTTTACAGAAAGTTTCCCAGTTTCTGTACTTTATCTTTACTTTGTGTCGGGTACATGTTAAAAGAACTGAATTGATACTGCTTTTAAATCCCATCACAATGAGAGGTTCAGAGGATCCTCATTGCCATTGATGCGGAAGGACTTTCAAACAACGCTTTCAGAGTCTGTAAACTTTTCCAATACATCTGACATTTTACCCACAGGAAGGTCAATTTAAGGCTTTTCTTGAGGTTTGTTATTAAAATGATTTTTTTTTTGTTCAGTGAAATATATTTTCTAAAATCATTTATGAAATAAAAATGTTTCCTTAAATCTTTTGTTTTTATTTATTTATTTATTTATTTATTTATTTTTGGTAATGCATGGTTGAGGGGAAAAAATGTGTTTTGTTGTGGGTTTGGTTTATGTATTTGAGAGTTTTCTTCACCACCGTAATGTTTTGTAACTCGTTCTTGTGGAAGTTTTAAAAAATGTGATTTGAGTTTCAGTCGGTCGTGACATTCCCCTTTCGGTTTTGACTTTTGCTTTGGCTTTTGTTTACTTTTTGCTCTGTCGCGTACATTTTGGCTTGTTTTCTTGTATTATACTAGTTAATGAAATCCACAATACCTTTTGTGACAATATTTGAACTGTTTGCAGTACTTTTATTTTCTTTACCATACAGTGACCTATCTTTCATTGTGAAAGATTTCATAATTTATTTCAGAATGTTTCTTTTATTTGGTCCAAAACTGTTTGGAACACTTTGTTCCAGTGACCTCTTGTTGACTTGTCTAACTTTGCTTTTCAGTAGAATTTTTGTTTTGTTCTTTTAATGATTGGTCAGAAACATTCTACAGTATTTCTTTCAAATGCGCACAATTCATGATGTTAGGCATACGTACTTAAATGTATACTTGGTCT